GGACATGTGACGGGCACCGTGGGGGGATCGCTGAGCGTGCATCAATGAGGGGAATGTGGAGAAAGGAGGGGTTCTGCTGTTTTATTTGTTTTAAATATATTTCTATTGATTTCAGAGAAGAAGGGAGAGGGAGAGAAACAGAAACATCAATGATGAGAGAGAACCATCCATAGGCTGCCTCCTGCACACCCCCCACTGGGGATCGAGCCCGAAACCCAGGCATGTGCCCTGACGGGGAATTGAACCGCAACCATCTGGTTCACAGGTTGATGTTCAACCCCTGAGCCACGCCTGAGAAGAAGTATACAGACTATAACAAATACTGGTGCAAAAGCCCATGTTTGCCACCACTGAGGACGAAGATTGTGGAGACCACAAAGTCAAAGAGAGAAGTGAGGAGAGACCGTGTGTCCATCAGGGACCATCCAACAAACCTCACCTTCACAGTGACCTTGGAGGGCCTCACAGAGGGTGATGAAGGCACATACAGGTGTGGGATCAATAGACCATGGAGTGAAGTACGTTGGGACCTCACCTTCCCGGTTGAAGTGTCTGTGTCCCCAGGTGAGTCACACACACCCTCCCCTTGTCCTGCCTGAGGAGTCTCAGGTCAGAATAGCTGAGGGAGGAACAGATCAGAGACTCAGAGCAAACTATGAGTGTGAGTGTGTGTGTGTGAGTGTGTGTGTGTGTGTGTGTGAGTGTGTGTGTGTGTGTGTGAGTGTGTGGTGGAAGGGCACCATGTTTACATTTCATACTTTAAGAAACAGCCCATTTGATTATTTATTGGTTGCTGAATGTGTGTGAGTGTGTGTGTATGGGTGTGGGTGGGTGTGAGTGTGTGTATGGGTATGTGTGTGTATGGGTGTGGGTGTGTGTGAGTGTGTATTGGTGTGTGTGTGTGTGTGTGTGTGTGTGTGTGTGTTTTAACGTTGGTACAGTTGACTTTGTGGTACTGGGAGGCTTCCTGCAGGAGCTGGTGCCCATGCTCAGTCCTTCAGTCCTGAGGGATGGGAAGGCATTTGTCAGGCGAAGGGGAGGCTGAGAGAGTAGAGTGTGTGAAGGAGAGAGAGGAGAGGAGAAGAGATGCTGGTCAGCCCCGTGGAGGCAGGACCTGATTTGGGGAAAGGCTGGGGGCTGAAGGTGTGAGGGCAGTGGCAGACTCACAGCGAAGCAGACAGCTCTGGGGGTGGGGGTGGGGGGGCAGCACG